ACTTCCTGTTCATAAACGCTTCGGTGGGGAACAGCCGTTCGGACTTTGCGGATTTAGTTATTCTTTAGTTCAGTAGGAATTAATCCAGTATTCTCACAGTCGTTTCGTCCCCCTTGAATTTCCGTATGGCATTTGTCTCAGCATCTGCATAGGTGTTGATGAGCACAACTGGTTGATGCGTATGTCGGAAAGTTCCAAACAATCAATCCAGACAATACCAAGAAGGTTGAGTTCACAACAAACTATGTAAATGGTACCAGGATCGTACCTGCATGAAATTACCAGCTCACAAGCAAATTCAACAAGCAATTTGACTTTACTGCCGGATGCATTTCTGCCCGTATTATTAGTCCGACGATATTCTGGCGAACTCAGTTTCTTCCAGTTACTTTCTGACACGTTCGTTATATCGGACGCCGTATCAAGTTGTAATCGAATCGTTCTTCCGTTTATTCTCGTAGTCACGTAGTTGCAGTGGCGGTTAAAATTACGATGTTGTTGCGAGCACAGCGTTGAATGTGAGTTCGGTCCTATGTGAGCAACTGACCGATCGAGGTCTTTGGATAGGTGTCCGGACTCGCTTCCTTGTTCGGCATTGATATTCTTGTGTGACCGCGACGGTTACACACTGAGCATATGTGCTTCGTATAGGGGCAGAACTTTACGAACTGCCATTCGCCACACTGCCAGGATGTGGATGGTGGTTTCGCTACCTCTGCTGCTGTTCCAAGGGGGTGTCTTAAGTATGTCTGACACACTGAAAACGGAAATGGAGGATGAACGCTCTAATGTGGCTGTATCGTGCTTGAGGTTTACCAAACGCTGACACGCATGCATTAACTGCTGTAGCGTAACCTCAAGGGACAGTTCAATCTTGCTCAATAACCTGGTCCTGATATCACTGTCGGATTGTGACTGAAGACCGCAAAAAGGGACACTTTAACTGATCTTCTGTCATAGTAGACAGTTTGAACGGTTCGTACTGGAAAATGACTCTAGCAGCATGTGATGAAATCTTCACCCTCCTAATTGGCTAGTTTCATGCACTGATACCGAGTTTGTCCAGTCAACAATGCGCTTTATGCACCCATGAAGAGTGAATATGCAGTTACAACACACACGCTAAGGGCACAAATAAAATCAAATATGACAAATGTATATGGTGCGACACCAATAAAAATGTGGCAGTGGCGATATCATCGATTCAGTCTGGCAATAAGGTCTCGTTTGACTACATGTTGATCCCTCAGAAAATGTGACAAATAGGGAACAACTGACCTACCGTAAGCCCGTCTGCGGACAAAATGACTGTACGTTTGTCTGGTCAAAGAAGTTGAGATACATTCCGAAAATGCACAATGGAGAGGGTGACTGGCCTCAGTGAGTATCTTGGACGCCAGTTGGTCGCAGGAGTGAACATAATTGGACACAATGACGTTGGTAAACACTAGCACAGAAATTGCGCTGCATCGAGCAAGATGCTTCAGCGACCTGCTGATCGCTTTGAATTGCCCGTTTAAGAGTCCGGGAAATATCACAGGTGAGCAATACGTCCAATGCGGTATTACGCAAGCGGTGACAAACCGTAGAATTAAGTAACGAGGCACGAATGATGACCTAAGTCGGAAGACGTAGAACGTTAGTCGCCTGACTTTAGTGAATATTGCATTCACGTGATGCGACCATGTGAGATCCCGGCATATTTCGCCACTGTACAGGAGTTTAGACTGACACTGTCAATACTAAGATGCGGGGTGTGCGTCAGGAGCTTTTGATAACAGTTTTCCTTGGCTAGCGAGAAGATAACATATTTGCACTTCGATGCGTTTGGCGAAAGACAGCGAGATTTGGACCAGGAAGTGAGGTTGTCCAAAAAGCATAGCAAATTGCCCGGTGAATCCGTGATTGCGTACACCAAGGATCACGTCATTAGCATGCTTTAGTAGGATGGCTTCTTTAGGAGCGGGAATGGAGTTAAAGTAGGTGGAAAATAGGAATGGGGACAAAATAGCTCCCTGAAGAACACCTGCATTCGTGGTGAATAATGAAGTAATTTTCCCACCAACCTTGGTAAACTGCGTACGATTGGCAAAGTAGTCTGTAAGAAAAAGTACTAGTGAAGGTTAAACTCCGGAAACTAGCAGATCGTGTAATAGCAGCTCGCGGTTTACACAACCGAAAGTGTTGCTGTAATCTAGGAAGCAGATTTGCGTGGGTTTGCATTTTCTATCGAGTGATGAAAGCACGGAGTGTACAAGACAGGCTAATACATCCCAAGTTGACCTTGAACTGCGACAGGCGAAGAGAAAAGGATCATTTGAGTGAATTTGGACAGGCATTCTATGAAGTATGATTCGTTCTAATGTCTTCAAAGCCACAAACGTACAACCAACTGGCCAGTATTTACAGGTTTCTATTTCGGCACAGGTGTAACGCGGGCGCTTCGCCAGCAGTCGGCTATCATGCGTTGATGTAGGCATAAGGAAAAACGCTCACCGAAAATTCCCTATAGCTGGCATACAGTATCGTCAGAAGTGAGGTCCCTGGAGTTCCATGGCAGAATAAAATTCGTGTATCGTGGGTACTGAATTGTACCAAGCTTCCTTAGCAACAACCGGACTCGCCATGGATCGTTTTGGTGCTTCAGTTCGATTTTGAAAAGGTTCTCATATCGTTTGAACACAGATTCAAAAATCAGCCCAGCATCAGGTTCATAATGGAACTGTAATTGCAATTGTTGCGATTGTTTCGGCTCCATTTTCTTCCGAGACAGGAATGGATGACTTAATGCTGAATTGTAGCAGCAAGATTTTTTATTATTCGCATCCGGGCCACCTTGAACTGAGTTTGATGTTAGTGCAGAATTTCCTTTAATTCATCTGCAGTTATTGATATGATGTAAGTTCCCGCCATCAAATCTGTTGTGTAGGACACTGCTAGAGGGTAGGCCGAGCCCCAGTAATGAAAAATGAGCAGGGCGAGTACGCGGAAAACCTGAGTAAATAAGGAGAACAGAACGTGAACCAATTTTCAAAGGAGGTTCATGAGCGGAATGCCGCAACCATAGAGGAATCAGTCTGATCACCATCGTCTCTAAATTACTTGCCTCCATAATTCTTCACAGACTGACTGGCACTCGTGAAAGCCAGATTTGTGAACAGCAAGCCTGGTTTCGTCGTCAAGGTCGTGGCAGCATCGATCACATCTTCACCTTGCGTCACTTGTTGGAGCACCGTCACATATAGTGGCGGTCCGCCGTAGTCGTGTTCCTCGACATCAAAGGTGCCTTCGATTCGGTTGATCGATGTGTACTTTGGGACTGTGTACTCAGGAATGGTGTGCTCGAGAAATATGTAAACATTATCCGAGCATTATACACGCGTAGCACGGGTAGAGTGAGGACTTACGGCAAGCTGTCGCCACCCTTCAATCTCTCCAGCGGCGTGAGATAAGGATGCCCGCTGTCACTTTTCCTCTTCAACTTCGCTATTGACGAAATCATGGAAATTGCATTTACAGGACACCGCTTAGGTGTGGAGCTACTTCCAGGAGAACAACTTCTTGACTTGGAGTATGCAAACGACATTGCACTCACCTGTGACAGCTCCCATACGTGCCAAGCCGCGCTGGACAGATTAGTACTGACTGTCAGCCGCTTCGGGGTTTGCTTCGCACTCTCGTAGTGCAAAGCGTTCTTTCAAAGCTGGCATGGACCGCCACCTGGGCTGACCCTTGGTGGGGATCAGCTAAAATTCGTGCAGATTCAACTACCTGGGGAATTGCATCAGCGCACTTTGGATCGAAGATGTGATCACGAACCGTATAGCAAAAGCTCGATGCGCTTTTGCTAACCTTCGCCACCTATGGCGCCGGCGCGACATCATTCTCGCACTGAAGGGTAGAGTATACAACGTTCGACCCTACCGTATGGTTGTGAAACTTGGCCCATTGAATCAGCCGACATAAAGAGGCTAATTACGTTCGACCACCGGTGCCTTCGCAGTTTGGCTCACATCTGGTAGACACACCCCGTGAGTAACGAACGTGTTCGATGCCTTATTTACGGCAAAGGAAATGAACCGCTCAGCACCGTTCAGCACACACCAGGCTCCGATGGCTCGGCCACGTGTTGCGGATGATAGCTACTGGTTCCCACGATATGCGTTGTTTGTGCGCCGAGGGTGTGGATGGAAGGAGAGGAGAGGTGGCCAAGCGATGACTTGGTCCAGAGGAATGAAGGCTCTTACTTTAAAGCTGGCTTCGGTTGTAGCATCTCGGCTCCCTGGTTGGAGCCCGAAAGACGATGAACACGTTTGGCTGGATACACTTGCTGACATGGCTAGCAGCCGACCTCAATTGGGTTCGTGCTATGAGTTATTTTGTTCCTCCCCATCCCTCCTAGCCATCCCCTCTAATCACGATCTCATTTTCTAACATAATATAATTTTGCATAATAAATTGTTTTTGCTGCATAACAGACGCTGGTAGCTTTCCGGAACGATGCCCATCCGTTACTGTTACCTGAGCCGACATGTATCTGTTGCATCGTTTTCTTTTTTTCTTTCATGTATTGCGGCAAAGTAGCTGAGGTGTTTTCCACCTCCAGCTAACGTGCATAATGATGATGATACGGGTGAGGAATTCACACTACAGCCTGCACTAGCCGAATGCGCGTTCGATCATGACCGCTAATTTCAAACTCAACACTGGTCTGTTGATCGATATCTTTCCGGTGCGTTAGGCATCCGCCGGTTGACCTTGGGCTCAGCTCTTTCTGGTTTTTGGGGCCGCTGGTTGAGTGAACGCGATTCACGTGCTCTGCTGGTTAGTGTTCGAGAAACTGTGCCGTCCTATCAGAGCAATTCACCCGCTTTACACCAAGCTATCTTCAATTATATTCTACTTCATTTCAACAACATAATGCATATCGGAGACTTGAATATTTTCAAGGGTAGAGTAACCGTAAATTAAAGTGAGGACGACGCAATAGGTGAACGTACCGCTGGAAACTCCGCTTTGACAACGCAGCTTCCCAAGGACGGTTCGTACAGTAATTTGCGTCCTTGGTGGTGAGACAAATAAAATCGAGTGAACTCCTCGCGCAAAGCCACCATCTGTGGAGATAAAAGAAAACAGTTGGAACAAATTAAATAAAGTTATGCACGCTCCAAGCACTGCCGGAAAAGTAGAACGATATGCGGAAGTAGAACCAATTACTGAACTGACACGGAAACAATGCCACGACTCATATACACCTAGACGAATGATCCCAAAAGAAAGCCGATACTGTAAAGCTGATAAAACGATAAAAGAGCAGCTGAATTCTTTTAAAAACATAAAATGGCGGTAGTAGTATTTAAGCATGTATTACATGTAATACCATGGTGTGCAAACCCAGGGTGGAACTGGGACTTGAACTTGGGGACCGAAGGTCAAGGGTCAAATGCCTGAACAGCTATACCCCAGGTCCCCAGTCAGAGAGAGAGGTCCAAATGTCAATCAGGAAGCGGAAGAGAACGATGGTGATCGCAAGAATGCTTACTTCTGGGGGATAAGTAGCGGTTGTTTGAGGGTAAGCTGGCCAGGACGCTGGACAAATCACATTGACGCTTAGTTCGATGGGGTGCGAAATTGTAGAGGTGGATCTGAAATTTTTGCTCAATTGTCTGCTCAGTTCGATATCTTGGAACATTGTCTCCATTTTGCGCGTATAATTTGGTCCGCATTCTAAACGGTGGAACAATAAATAACATTATCCATAAAAGCAATTGAGGGAAGAAGTGTGAGGAACTGGGCAGTCGGATATCAACTAACAAGTGAAGCAATGAGATAGAAGCGAAGATGCGATTATCAAAGGTATAACTTTTCGGGCCTAATTGCGAACGTTTTAAAACGAGAGCATCTGTGTAACCCAGTGACGGAACAGTAGCATGACGAAAAAAACTCATTCATTCATTTAGCCAGAGACGAGAAATACCTCAGAGATTATGTCTCAATACAATACAGGAAGATATAGGAAAAATAAAATACAAAAGAGTGAACAGTACAATATACAAAATATGAACAAGCAAGAATATGATTGGAGGGGGTCTTTATGAGGCACCCGTTGCATGAATGATGGATTGTGACGTGATTCGCATTGAAGTGAACTTTGGTCAATTCGATCACTGGGAGCGAAGTAGATGAATGTTGAGTGTTGTCCACCTGAAAACACTGCACTCCAAGGCTAACAGCGAATTGTTGACCTCACCAGATAGAGACAGCAGGCATCGAACCAGATGTCATCGGGATATTAGCCGAAACCACCGCCATTGAGTCATGAAGAGAGACGATTGTCGGAAACAGTTAACAACTCGTGTGAATACATTGCGACGTGCAGTCTCAATGTGGATAGTGATTCACATCGAAGTGAACGTTGGTCAAATCGTTCACTGAAACGGTAACTGACAAAAGAGATGAATAATGGGTGTGCAGGTATCACCTAACATCCCATTGGCTTAGGGCTCGATACCTACTATCTCTACCTGAGGAGAGAAAATAAATACTATTAAGAGTTTTGATCATATGCATAGAGGGGAAGTGGTGGTTGGAGGGGGAAGATAGGCGGAATGGGGACGGACAGAGAACTCAAAACACAAACGCCACTGATCTCGGTTCTTCGTTGTGTCAACCAGTGTATCGAACCAAACGTGTTCATTGTCCTTGGGACCCTAGCCCGACAGTCGGGAGATACCAACCGATGCCAAGTTCGAAGCAAAAACACGTGGTGATACAACATGCATGTGGTGAAAAATACTACACGAAATGACATTGTTACCTCAGAGACTACGCGTTCTGACATTTACAGTCGTACGAAAAGGTGACCGATAGGCTTCTAAATTTTGATCAATCGATGGCAACGAAGTGAAGTGATAAAGAATATGCCTAGAATACTGTAGCTAAGTCGTGATAGAGTGCTCATGTAAACACTGTTAGCCAAGTGATGTGTGACCGTCCACCGGCCATCTGTGCATGTACAGGGGACTATCACAATAAAATTGCTTAACCAGTTTTAACAAGGAAGCCAAGCTGAGATGTCTTAGTAGCTACACTTTATCCCCAAGAATAAACTGCTTCCTCTGAACTCCTTGGGGTCCGCGTCACACAAGGTGAAGCATACACTGAAGCAAATGGTGGAAAGAAAAATTGAAGAGGACAAAAAAACACTCACCTTGTTTTAATTTGGACAGCATGGACTTTTCTGCATCCACTGAAGCGCTTTTGTTCAACAGAAGACGCTTAGCTAGCTCTTTAGTGTAAAACGCTTCAAAGATATCCTTCCCATCAATATGTCGAAACAGGATCATAGCCTGAAAAAATCGAACGATAAGTAAAGTAGTTAAGCTGCAGCATTAACGAAATAAGTGGGGGTGACAGAAGACAGGGGGAAAACCATATTCAATAACATTCCTGAACTTACTGATAAACGAAGTCACAACTTAACACAGCCAAACAACCTACCAGTATGGACCCAGAAGACGTAAAATAACAGTTCGTGAAAAAGGAGCAAACAAAAGGAGACTCGGCTATGAAACCAATTTGATGATTTTGCAGCGAGAGATTACGTGAACAGTGTAGCGAAATAACAAGACGATATCAGGCTGGAGACTGGAACATAAACACTCAACTCCGCAGGCACATTAGGAGTGCACGACAGTAAAAAGGTGCCAAACAAAGAAAGTTGAATCGGCAAACGGACGTTTGCATGTGCGACCAACTAACTTTCGAAAAAGGAGAAAAGAAAAAGGTGAAATAACGGAGTGGATAGAGGCGGAAGGGGGTGGATTGAAAGCGAGCCCATAGATAACACAAGAGATGCGAAGACAAAACACGATAAACACGTACAGCTTGTCTAGTGGATTAACTAAGCGGATAAAGGAATAAATTTGATGTTCGATTCGCACAAAAGGCAACAGCTGTAATAAGCTGACTGTTATGTAGACAGGACATTCTGATATGAGACAGCGTAGAACTGAAGTACATAATCGTCAAACAAAAAGCTGAAAACATGCATCAAGATGCAAAAACGGTAAAATGTTCATATCAATCAGGAAGATAATGACAAAAGGAGGAATAAATACCTTGTCCATTAGTCTGTCCAATTCTTCCTCAGTTTGTGCTTTGTTTCCAGATCGAAGGTGAGAATCAAGGTACTTTGCCAAGAGTTCCGCAGGTTTGTTGGGCCGTTGGTTGATGAACTCTTCATAAGCATCTTGAAGCACGCGAATGAAACTACTGTCATTAGAAAAACAACTTGTGATTAAATCAGTGAGATAATCACGACAATTAATTAAATTCTGAATCATCGTGCGATCTTTTTCTGCATCTTGGGTTGGATTATCAACCAGATCACGCCCAAGTTGGAGAACGTAAAGGCGAAAGTGATTGCGCAGCTTATCGATACCAAGGGGAACTTTGGTCAGGAGCGTGTAGAACAGCCGCAGCTGATCCCTCTCGCCGGTCTTTAGGGATTCGACAAGGCCAGTATCCAGCAGGTAGTCAAGCATCCGAGTTAACAGCTCAGACACTAACGTAGTGATCAGAGAGGAGCGAGTCGAAATCAATTCTAAATAAGTGAATAAACGGTCTTCCTCTTCAAGCAGTCGTTTATTGACATGGAGCAAGTAATCCGGAACGGTCAGCTTTCGGGATAAGGATTCAGCCTCGTCGGCATAGAACCGCTGGCTCCGTTTGAGAAATTCAGGCAGGAACACTGGTTCATACAACTAAAAATGAAGACAGAAACGAACGTTGGCAAAGGCATATTAAATTAACAACAAAACGACGACCGCAGTACTCAGTACTTTGCGCTGGAGATCTACCATACAATGAGTCCAAGTAACTGACTGTTATTTATGCACAGAATGGAAACTACAAATAATGCGGCTTAAACAGAATACGGAGACCAAAAAAGCGAAAGTTCCTACTCAGACACGGACAAATATACTACATAACGAAACAATTGGCCAAATCATGACCGTAGAAAAAAGAATGATTCGACGGAAAGGTATCTATGACTATGGGGAATAGATGAAGCAAAATAAGAGAAAGAATAGTGTTCTATAAATAGGTACTCTCAACAACCAAAAGAGTGGACAGAAACGTGGACCGTATTTCAGCGATCCACACAAGTTCGTCAGCATGTACTTTCCTAGAGTCCATATTGGCATTAATACGAACATAAAAATAATTGTAAGTCGAACAAATTTGACCCCAAATTAACCATCAGGGGAGGGTGGGCGGAAATCGTATACTTAAAGCATATTAAAGGAGCCGGAAATCTACGGTTCATAGGCTCATTCCAAACGGGGAACATGAGTGTCATGAGCCGTCAAGCGCAGTAACAACCGATGCAGTTAGACAAATACGATCCGTGCACCGAGGTGCGGTGGGTCCAGTTGCCACGACTCACGTCACCAGAGTAACTATGAATAGTGGTCAGAAAACGAGGTTGAACGCAAAAATAGTACAAAAAGTATCCGAGACACCACGCAAAGCTCGCGGTTTGCTGTTTTTATCTAGTTGAAACGGGCCATCAATAAACGCTTTAACAAATGTTGGCCTCGTCAACTGGAAGAAGAATCTTATAATTCGTTCAATCATTGTGCGGTCGTTGCTTAAAGATTCGGGACTGTTTACTTAAATGACATCTGTGCACTGTATCCATTCTGTTTTTAAAGTGGAAAATGCTTATCTTTACTGATGGTGTTTATATCACACTTATGATGGATAGTGTAGAATGTTGAAAATGTATCCATCTGGGTGCATAAAGCTTTTATTGACTTGACTTGAATCAAGGAAGTGCGCGAAACTAATCAAGATGGAATGAAAATTAGTAAACTATATGCAAGAAACCGAACGTAGGTACACCACTGACTGCGCCATGTCTGACAGTCGCCAACCACTGATGTGAACCATTTCAAAACCCTTATACACAATGACGCCACGCAGCAGTCTCACAATCAATTCCGTCATTCCTATATGTAAAACAATCGACTACCCACCTAGCGGTTTCCACCAACTCAGTGCAGCCACAGCATGTAATGCGCGCCAAGGAAGGCGGTCAACGGTCATTCAGAGGACATGGAAAGCCTACGTATGTGGTAAATGTTTAGCAAAGACTCCAGTGAGGCGCCAAGGGCTTTTTGCGAAAAACCAATTGGCGGATATCAGCAGTACTCACTCGATATTTCTATCAAATGTGCGCGATGCTCCGCAAGCTCTGGTAATCAAACACAGCTAAGCGTTTAACGTCTTCACTGCGAACTGGCGATTTCTCCGATCCATGCAATAACACCGGTTTTACCGCAGCGTTCTACACCCAATCCACCACTGATAGGTTATTATCTACCAATCTAATGTTCGCTGATAGATAAAACCGGAGTCATGCAACAATATATTGCACTATGAAGATGTAAAGCACATGCCGAAGCGTGCAGCGCTATGCGCGTCTGTGCAGTAGTGCTTGCATAATCACTCCGTCAGACCCAAGGGGAGTTACGTCGTGCACATACGCAAGGTTTTCCAGTCCGTCACCTGGCAAAAATTGAACCCAGGAAGTGTCTGAAAGATAGAAGTCAACCATGATCATTCTAATCAGAGTTGAAGAAAAAAGGAGATATGGGACAACCCTGTAGAACCCGTTTTGTTGCAGGGAACGCAGCAGACAGCCTTCTGTAGACCCTTACAAGACCTCGAATAAGGTTTTGGAATTCGGAATGGAAAGGAATTTGTCTAACACACACTTTATGTATAGGCAGTGATACAGGTTCGTACGGTTAACAAAACCGAAGGCGGATTTCAGGCTAAAAAAAGACACTATATTCGGTTGCATGTGAATGTGCCATTGCCCTAAGAGCTGACGAAGAGTGAACCTGTGGTCGATGCAAAAACGACCAGTGAAATCAGCCGATTGAGAGGTCCAGTGCCCACAGTGTTTAAAAAAGATTCTCGGAGTTCCCCTATAATGATGGCATTTCGGCATTGAACACTATCAGGTAAAGGATCCCTGACAAGCGGAACAGCTTCTGTGCTGCCGAAGTTATCAATATCGGCCAACCCCCAAGTTGCCGCTGCCTCCACTGAAAGAGACCCAGCTTATCGGGGCTAACCCCCATGATATACACTAATCCGTATGTGACTGAGGAGCCTGTGACATAGGCAGAACTGATAGGACATAAAGTACCCGAATGAAAGAGAACGTACCAATGTAGATTCAACACGAGACGGCGCAACAAGCATGCCCAGCTCAGGCTAAGCGTTCACAAAGGCCGCCAGCATCTTCGATCGGCAGACAATGCTTGAGGTCAAGTCACCGGATCGAGAGTAGCATATAATACAAAGTTCTGTCGCCGCATTTTAGTACTTATCTCCTCCGTTCCGCCGATGCCGTGATAATAAGCCGGATCAAACCGATGCATTGTGTACAAAAGCAACCATCGGTCAGCCTCAGGTTGAGCTGGACGTAGATACATGATTTCAATGATTTGGCCCTCATGATGACCAGTAAGTAGTTGGATAAGGATATAACTGGCGTTCTCGATCTCACGGGTCCTTGCTACCCAAAGTTCAATTCGAAAACTCTTAGTCAGCCGTTGTTTAAGGCTACACGGAAACGGGGAAACTCAGTGACCAAAGAAACCTGTCTACATGCGTGGACAAAACTGATCGCTGACTCAGAGATCCATTTACAGTTAGGACGTACAAAAGCGTTCTTCGTGACAATTGGGTTAGGTTCAACAACCTCATTCGTCACCGACAACTAGCGGACCAGTTCGTCATGATATCGTAGAACTGCGGACCGCGAATTCAAGGTACAACTGTGAAGCGTCGAAGTAAGACGCTTCTTTGGAACGAAAGAGTGAGCACTAGAGCAGTCGGAGTGCAAGCACGTGCTCCAAATTTACCGGCAGTCTTGGACTGATGCACGCCATCTGCAGCTAATAACAAAATGGTTAATTTGGATCCAGGTCGTCGTGCCAAGTGACGCGATGTGAACACTTGTGCAGGGGAGCAGACTATGGTCGGCATACTGTTGGAGGAAACGATCGTCATCGTCCGTTCGGCGTGCAACTACAAAACGGCTTCCCAGGTGTTGTTCAGTGACTGAAACGTGGCCCACTTGGGACTTTATGTCACTAGCAACAATCACGTTGTCAGTACGTTGTGTCATGCGGAGAAAAGATTAGAGGTGGCGCTGAAAATCCGCTTTCATATCCTGCGAACAGCAATCCGTGGGGCATAAACGAAGGCGATAAAAGGACACTTGCCTACAAACAGCGCCCATTAACCCAAATAGAGGTTCGAAGTTGAACCGCACACATGCGGCGGTTCACTGAAAACCAATGGAGTAGACTATCTTCAAAACATTTGCAAAGCACGATACAGACATCGTAAACACGCTGAGCCACTGACTCGGTATCGCAAAAGATGTAAAGTGTGTATTATTGTCGGCAGATTCGAAACGAAGAAGTTAATTTCCATCACGACAACAGTAGTATATCACCCGCATGAACTGATGCTTCGATGCTGTACAACGCTATTGACTTAAGAAAGGAAGAAGGGATACCTAACGTATAATCTAAACGCCCTAAGCAAAGATCCAGGGCCAAGGTGTCTACACCTTGTCAGCAGCATACAGTTCCGAACAGCTAGCTATCGTACAAAGTTAAGGCGTCGGTGAGACAGCTCCCTTGCAACTTTCACTGCTCTGTATCATACTTAGCCAATACCCAATAGATAACTGAGCATCAGACACCCACTAAACCAGCCGCCAGACTAAGAGACGACAGCACCACTGACCAACAGCACCCAGATTAGCCGTTAAGGACACTGATATTTTGCAGGTTTATCTCAAAGACATGACACACATCAATATAAAGAGAGCAAACAGAGAAAGTGTTGCCTGTTGGTCGATCTGACTCAGATTACGGACCTTAGACAAGCCTATGTGAAATACGACTCCTGGCTTGATGGACGAGTTACACCTATTGTTAAATAGGAGTTGTGAAGTCAGCGGCAGCCTCTTCCAAAATGGAGATGGAATAGTTATGAGAACGAAGGTGACCAAGAAGAGGAGTGCTGTCGACCGGGTCGAAAGAGCAACTGATACTCTCCGACTGCCCATTCCAAGTGAGAGGTCTTGTTCGAGGAGTCCTAGCTCTAGCCTTTTACTCAATAGCCTGACTCACTAGTGGGGAGCAAATCCAGCTTGGGAGTGTGGTTACAGAGACTTAGTGGGATCTGCTAGAGACATGTCACACAGCCTTCCCAATCTTGGCAGACTTCACATGTGTTTTCGATCGAAGTATTTTACGCATCTTCGAGCACGACCCTCCGCAGATGACAGCTGGCGGATTTGCACTAGTATGACCAGGGGTTGTTAAGCTTAAGGCGGGCGGTAGCACACCATTGAGCACCGGGTGGTGCCCTTTCACCGTCAGATAAAATACGTGACCCTAGTGGTTTGCACCAACTCGGCTGTGAATAAATAACCCATCACCGGCTTTCTCTCATGGCGAAGTTTAAGGAAAAAGGTCCATCGACTTCTCCTCAATCCTTGAAGAGGATGTTGAAAGGACATAAATACTGAGTTCATCAGACCCTTAACCACTGATCTATCTGGTATAAGTGACTGAAAGCACTTGAGAAGTGCTATCCAGCGTAGCTCAAGGGGTCACAGACATACGCAAGCCATTGCACAACGCTAAGGTCTACGCTAGTCGCAGTTACAGTCACTAGGTACTGAAGTACAAATCAGACATAAAAAAGAATGCAAATGCTCAAGATCAGCAGCAGCCGAAAAAACAAGCACAGACTCTTCCAATTTTCTCAAAGGCATGTGATGGGCTTTGAACAGATCAAGTCCAGAATCAAGGCCCCTGCCCGTTTGCACCACCGCAAAATCAAGAGTAGCTGACTATCGTGTGAAAACAAACGGCATTAACCATTCGCAACGACGAATAAAGCTTAACTGGTGCTTGTGGGCATTTCACCACAAAAATGGTAAAAACAAATAGAATATGAAAAAGTTTGCTTACTGGGACCAAGCGACAGCAACAAAATGGACATTAACGCACCTTTAAATCAATGAACATGCGAACCACGGAGCGTATTAAGTGCCGATCCACAGAGTTTCCACATCTTTCCTTGTGAATTTCGTGTAGCAGTTGTTTCAAAATCCGACCCTCCACTTTACTGTGAGATATGACGAACTCTCGGAAGAGGTCAAGAGCAAGATCCCTGGATCAAGATTTATTAAAGAAAAAGGATATTGTACGAAGAAAACCGTGCAGTTAGTATGAGCACAAAATGTTTAGACGTTTTATTATCTTCAAAGGCAAAAAATTATAAAAAATAGTATATTCTGAAGATGCGAGTTTTCCAAATTCGCACTTAAACCGCATAAAAGTTGGTTGTCGCACGCAAAGTAAAATGGCAGTAGCTACTGAATGCCATTGATGCAATCGGAACCTGTAATTCAACAGATCACTGTAATAACCCGCCAGTGGATACTGTTGCGTGTACGCAACATACCAGAAAAGTGTCCGTCAAGTTGCTTACACAGTTGTTCATATTAAGAGTAAGTTCCCTTGCGGTTTATTTTGATTGTCTGTCGTTCTGTTTGACCGCAAAATCGTCTTTTGAACGCGAAAGCAGAAAGTTATTTGGAGGGAAATCAGCAAGCTTTCGCTTTAGACTGCAGATACTCCGTGCGGTAAATGATTAACGGTATTTTTGCCAACATCCAAAAAAGTAGGCGGGTAGTTTAGTTAAGTTGGGGTAAACCCCTCTGATCCAAGCAAGGAAGTCAGGTGCACTAAAATGCTACAATATGATTCGCCATAACAGTAAAAGCCAAATAATACGGAAACAAATAAGTGGAAGTGTAAACAAAATACAGAGACAGGAAGTGAGTGATTAGATGCAAGGGACCGAACGCGGACGTCATTTACTAGCGACCATAGCATGCTGGTTAAGATATCCGACCGGTGATGTTACGCGTTTTGAAAACCAGACCAAAGTTGCCAGACCAAGTTGCCCTGCTAATCGCCTTATGAAGCTTTGTTAGAATGAAGAATCTGAAGATTTGTCCCACAGAGGTAGACAATAAATGCAGAGGAACGCGATCAACAGGTACGCGAATGAAAACTCAAATAGTATGGACGACTAGCGCACAAAAGACGGTCTGGTGCCACATCTAATGGTGCTTCTCCAAACATCAAGCGGCGGTAGCAAGCAATAGCTACTCGATGCTTTGACACGAAGGTATCTGTAACCAAAGACGACCGTTTTCCTGATATCTGTAAAGCGCATCGACCATGTCGATGATGCGCACACTGATCGCGCTGTATGCGACACAGTAGCTGAGGGGTTCCACACCTCTGGCTAACGTGTATGATGATGATGATGATCGCGCTGTACGATGGTACACCTATCCTACAATGATAAGCTGATAATAAAAATGTAAGAGCACCGCCGAAATTCAGTATTCAAAATAACCTTACATCATCAGTATGAAATTAGTAAGTAAGATGGTATTGAGCAATTAAATTTTTCCGATAGAACCCCATGGAATTGCGGAAGATGTAAGCAATGATGTGGCTGATGTTAAGGTATTTACACTAGATGATGTCAAGCATCAACCCTAATTAGTCATCTGGCGAATTATCCATGCTATTCCGCCAAATAAAATTACTCTGTCACCTTGGAGTTTTATCAAACTAGGTACAATGTTAGCAAGGAAAGCAACGCCAAGTGAACTGTTTGCAGGAATTTGGTATACTTGACTCTGTCACTGCAGACAATCTGAATTCAGAAGGTATCATGGGGAGTGGTGGTAAGTTATTACCCAAAAGCGAATGAAAAAAATGTTATTTGGGCGTTGATTTTACTTGATGTGAGAAATACATCGTAGTAAAGAGTCAAACACATTCAGTAGCTTAATGTCCTCTGTGCGAAAAAGTCAAGCCTCCGAACCATACAGCGACACTGACCGCATTGCACCCTTGCAAACTCTTCCTTCAGCCGGTAAGTTCGCAACTCGCCGTCCCCAAAAACGAATAGAGCATTGAGAAGAAACAATTCTTATCAATGTGTGTAGTAACTAAAAGCAGTGATACATCCAACTGGCCATAAACCACTAGGAACGGTTATTTCATGACTGCGAGAATTGGTGTTGTGTCGGTAAAGTGCTTTTCTACCATTATGTACATTAAAAACGCGAAGCCCGTCAAAGTGTGCAACGACATACGTCAGCCTATTCAGTGGCACCCGCACAACAACAGGATCAGGCATAAAGAGTTGCGCCACCTGCACTATAGAATTTTAACCAGCGGTTACCTAACAGGACTAGTACGCTAGAACAAGCGCTAATAGGTAGAACAGCCATTTGTCCCGTGGCGGATCTGTATCCTATCGTGCGCACCTCCATGTTGCGGACTGGGGAATGACTCCCTTGTGGAGGTAACAGCGAACAAATCTCGTTTGCTTTGCACGCGAGATGAATAAGCAGTCGCGGACAATTAGCAGCAAGGTCTCAGAATGTAGGGAGCTCCGGGTTGGCCACTTGGTTCTGTATCAAATATCAAAAGAGTTCGTATGGCGCTTTGTCAAAGCCAATGTGACCGGCTAAAAGGTCAATGACCACACAATTCTGTGACCAGAGATGAGTACCTAACATATGGCGAATGAACAACCTTGTTGGGCACCGGCTTCTGTGCGGACTGCTACAGAACACAAGGCGAATGAGCCACCTGGCTGTCGACGGTCTTCTTATTAAGCTGCTGGCTGCACGTCCCAACGAGGTGGTAATCGCTCCGCTGCCTTGCGTGTCAGGTCTTTATGATCATAGGCTCAGGTCTGTGCTCGAGAAACCGTACCATCTTAGCATTTTCCTAGGCCGACGTGCTGGTGACTGGCTCCGCTATACCATGCTATACAGCACCACCTGCTACACGTTTGTTTCACACTAGTTTAGTTCACCCATTTTTGGTAATCCACGTCTGATCCCGATTCTCGGACAATGTGCCGTCTTAGTGGACAGTTAGAACCATTGCGATGAGCATTGCAAGACGGTCCATCAGCTACGCAATATTTTTATCTCAGGACGCTCTGACACAAAGCATCTCTGTGTGCTCGCTGTCGTACTTGAGTGTTTGGAACGGAACAGATGTAGATTGAGGAAATCCGAATGTGTGTTCCTTTCTTCTTCCGTTTGTTATCTTGGATACCGGTTTGATAAATAAGGGTTACGTCTTAAATGACAAGGTGAAACCTATGTTAGGAAATACAGAGCCGTAGAACAATGACGAACTCCGTTCGTTCTTAGGCATGCTGTCCCATTATCGCCGGTTCTCGCCTAACGCATATACAATATTATCTCTACTAAATGAGCTGTTGCATTAAAATGTACCATGGCGTTAGCGTTCTAGTAAGCGAGACGCTAAGCAGGTTCTTGCTTCACCACTAACATTAGTGCATCATGATTCCAATAGACCACACATCCTTAAGCGCGACGCGTCCCCTTGGGGGGTCAAGGCTGTCCTGTGCCACCGCATAAACAATGGTTCATTACGTCATACAGCATTCGTATCGCGCAATCTGCAAACAACAGAGGAGAAGAACTCACAACCGGATAGAGAAGTCTTGACTGTAAGCTTCGGGGTAAAGAAGTTTTAGCATTATCTTTACGGGAATGTCTTTCGGGCTGTACACAGGTCACAAACCCTTACTATGATTATTGGAAGAAAACAGGAGCATTCAACAGATGGCATCACCCAAAATGCAACGACGGGATGAAACCTTGAGTGCTTACAGTTGCAAGATTAGTTACATTACGGGCGTCAGCAACCGCACAGCCGATGCGCTGAGCCGTCTGCCGATAGTTGAAACTACACAGGAGCACGATTTTGCGTTTGAACTCGCAAATTTAAAGCAACATCCAGACACAACACCGATACGAAGTGCAACAATCCGTCAATGAACAGACCGAGACTGTCAATAGCGAAACGCTTTTTGAAAGTGGGTTGGCGCTCTAACGAAACAGCTGCTCTACAGCCGTGCATTATGCATAAGAGCGAACTGATTCTATTCGACGACGATGTTTTCTGGGGCTCTCGGGTGAACCCTACGGTTAAGGTGCGTTCACATCCTCAAGGAAATTCATTCATTATACACCTCAGCTACTGTGCCGAAATACATAAAGAAAAAGTAAAATCAATACAACAGTTGCATGCCAGCTGAGCTACTAGCAACGGATGGGCATCGTTCCGGAAAGCTACCAGCCGGCTACTACGCAAAAAGAAAAAAATTATTATGTTTCACGCTACGAAATGAGATCGTAGGTGGAAAGGGAGGCTAAAAGGAATAGGGAGGGACAAAGAAATTCACAGCAGGAACGCCACTGTAGTTGGCTCCTATCCATGTCAGCAAGTGTATCTAGCCAGACGTGGTCACCGTCTTTTGGACCCCAACCAGGGAGCCGTGACGCTCCAACCGAGGCCAACTCCGAAGTGAGGGTCTTCATTCCTCTCGAGCAAGTCATCGCTTGGTCACACCTCCTCTTCTTCCATCCACATTCCCGGTGAGCAAACAACGCACTGGAAGTCGGTGGGCTGCCATGCGCAACACGTGGCCCAGCCATCGGAGTCAGATGCGTGAAATAACGGTGCTGAGCGGTTCAATCCCTTTTTCTGCGAAGTAAACAAGGTGTCGAACACGCTCGTTACTCACGCGGTGTGTCTACCGGATGTGAGCCAAACTGCGAAGGCACGGGTGGTCGAAGGTAAATAGCCTCTTTATGTTGGCTGATTCAATGGGCCAAGTTTCACAACCGTACAGTAGGGTCGAACATTGTATATTCTACCCTTCGGGGCGAGAGTGATGTCGCGCCGGCGCCATAGGTGGCGAAGGTTAGCAAAAGCGCATCGAGCTTTTGCTATACGGTTTGTGATCTCGTCTTCGATCCCAAGGGCGCTGATACAACTTCCCAGGTAGTTGAATTTCGAACGACTTCCAGCTGATCCCCACCAAGGGTCAGCCCAGGTGGCGGTCCATGCCAATCTTGAAGGAAAGCTTTGCACTACGAGGGTGTGAAGCAAACCCCGAAGCGGCTGACAGCCAGTACTAATCTGTGCAGTGCAACTTAGCACGTCTGGGAGCTGTCACAGATGAGGGCAATGTCGTCTGCATACTCCAAGTCAAGAAGTCGTTCTCCTGGGAGTAGCTCCACACCTAACTCG